TACTTATGTCAAAACTAAGCTTCAAATTTTAATATTACAAAGAGATATTGCAGTTTAAATACACTGTCAGTGAACAGTAAAATGTCAAAGAGTAGACTACATAACGTACACACATACATCCTCGCACAGAATACGGCATATAGGGCACACACAGAACCCAAGTCGAACTTTCCCTTCTGTGAGTGCCCTATACAGATTTTTATGTTATCCTTTATGTTCTGCATACTCCTTAACCGTTTACCTATAGAATGCCAGGGATGTTTTTTTGTTTGATTTCATACATTCCAAATTATTTTGTTTGAGTATACTATACCTTGCAGATCACAGAGTACAAAGACGGGCCTGTTTAGCTATTTACTTTGATACCCAACTTGCTATTTATTCATAATTTTAGAAACTGTTTTTTAGTTGACACAGCGTTTTTTGGCAGTTTACCTTGTGTGTGAATGGGGCTGAGGAAGCTAGGAACCATCCAAGTCCTTGATACACCATTAGTCATCATGTAAATCATGAAAAATTACAATTTGACTGTAATTCAAGACATCTGTGATTGGACAATTCATCCCTTCCTGTCCGACGTCTCCGGCCCGTAATTCTGCCCGATGAGAAAATCTGCGAAATCATCCCGTTTCATGTGAAGAGCAAAGAGCCCCTCCCGAAACAAGAAAGTGATCACTTTGAGGATCACTTCATGTGATCATCTGGACCCCTCGGTAGAACAGCTGAGCAGGGCGATCCATCCAATGACATTTTCTCATGATATCGTGTATATTGTTATTTATTTGTTTTTATATTTGGTAAATACAAAATCAAATGTGTCCAGTCATCCTGGAAGATAATAAAGAATCCTGTATGAAAAAAAAATCATGCATTTGTCCCATAAATTTTTTGTTTCAGTTGTAAATGGTAATTAGACACATAAAATTTGTGTTGAACTATCAAGGCAGGGCTGTACACCCTATCCATTTCCTTTTTACTTGAATAACGTAACATTTTGAAATAAAAGTCATTGTAAATTTTTCACATATAAATATTGAACTCATGAAACAAAAGAAATTTGTCAGTTTGGAATATTTTAAATTGCATTTTAATTCTGCCCCTAAAATGTAAATTGGTACCAATTACTAGATGAAGAAGTTAGGGGGGTTATTATTGCAAATATTGCTGATAAAAGACAGTAGCATAAACCAGGCCGTTCACACAAGGAACCCAGCATCAAAATTAATATACTATCCACTTTTCATGAATGCTTATTATCACCAGAGGTTGACGTCAGAATGTGACCTATTAAAATGAATTGTGGGTATTAAAGCACCCTTCCTAATGATGCCCCTCCCCTACCCCAACCTTCTTCCTTACGTTCCTTCCTGCTTTAATCAGTAAGTGTATGGTCTATGAATACAGACTTAGAATGATGAGAAGGTAGTGATGAAATTCAAGTGGATAGCAGAATATCGTTCCTGTTTTCATGAAGTGACGGTAGTGAGGAAAATCTGCATTCAAATTGTATGCGATTTTCTTTCACTACCATCACTCCGTGAAAATAGGGATGATATGGACAGTTAGTCTTGAGAGCTTTTGATAATAAATGGCAAATAAAATTGTGATAGTTATAAGCCCCCCCCCCCCCATCTGAATAAATGATAATGAACAACTTTTAAGAAAAAACTATGAAAGGATGTATCTTTAGAAGAGATCACATGGGGAAGAGGAGGGGGGGGGGGGGGGGTAGGAATTAGGAAGCTTTTTTGGAAAGATACCTGAGAAATTATTTATCTGCAGCTTGATTGAGTGATTGTGTGGATTGTGTGAATTAATTATTTCTTAAGTTTTCCATTCATTTCAAGTAAAATGTTACATAGTGAAATAAACTAAAAACTCACATTGAAGTAAATTGGTTATCTCGAAGATTCCCTGTAACTGACAAAAACGAGGTGTAGTCTTCATGGAAGTGATGGCAGACTACACCTTTTCCTTCTTCTCATTCACTTGAAGACAGTAGAAAATGGGAAAGAACAAACCAATAACAGGCCTATTAGAGGACTGAGGATGTCGGATCTTAATTCAGAAATTTCCCGTTACTCATGCTGTTGTTGTAGACACTCTCGCTACTGATGTCTGCCCTTGTAGCTCAGGTTTGTGTTGCCATGAGCGTCCATTTTGTTGCATAAAGCTACCATCTTGGAACCATGCATTCCTTCAACAGTTGTGAAGACATGAAGAAAATCTAAAGACTTTTCCTTTTGTTTCTATCGTGGAGAATGGTTTTGCAATGGAAATTCTTTGTGATGTCTCCTATTTGTCTGGGCATTTTTTATAACGATTCCCCTTAAAATGTTACCTAAGCATCGATCGAGTTATCAATCTGTGAGATGTTTATAAGTGAAGGATGAAACTTTGAAGTTTGTCATGCAGGATAATCTTCTAGACATCTGAGATATGGGAACGACATCAAGGAGGCATTTACAGGAAGCTTATCGCAGGTCTTTGAACTATCAACGTCGGTTGTTGAACTCTGGCTATATATGAAGTACATTGTGGTCTACCTGTCTTTGTAGAATATCTCTTTTGAAGAAAAAAATTATGTTTATCAAAGTGATTTTTTAGACATGTGACTCAAACTTTTGACTTGAAATACATGTGAAATGTTTTGGTCTGAAATGGTGAATGCTACAAAATAATAAATAATCAATTAAAAACACACTGAAATTCACATTGAAACAAGTTATTTGGTGGTTTTCAGGGGCATATATTGTGAGGTCATCTTTCCAACTATTCTGTGGTTGAATACATTTTATAACTGTGATTTGATTGCCAACTCATTTGCTGAATATAGATCATCTTCTACACGTTTTGAAACATTTAAGATCAAACTTTGTCCTTGTTTCGAGGTTGAAAGGCTCGAGTGAGAGGCTTATACTATGCACAATCCTCTGCAAAAGCTTGCATTAAGTCACATTTTGTGTCTTAAAAGGACAACTCTGTCGTACTAGTCATCAAGGGCAACGAAATGAACTCAAAGCTTTCGCTAGTTTCTCTGCAAATGTTCAACATTCAAGTCCTTTTTCCTTCTTGCTAAAAAATTCCCATTTTCGACGAGTCATCAAAGCTAGCTGGGAAGGTGGCAGATCGAGAGAGTGCTGCCTTCGTCAGATCTCTCGGTAGTCTACCACCTGACTTTGCGACTCAAGCCTCACCGAACCAGCTGATGCTATTGTCAATGTTATCCCCTAGTCGGGATCTTTCGTTCCTTCGCTCTCCTAATCCCCCCTCCTCTACCAACCAACAGAAAACGTGATTTTGAACGTATGATTAATTGCTACTCACTTCTTCGAATCACGCCTTGCTATACTTTACCCCGCAAATAACCTGTGGAAATTTCTGTGTTATATCTTCCACTTTGAGTTTGATACGTGGATACATATTGAGCTACGTTTGAAAAGTTCACTGTCGGAGAACCAGTCGTTGTTGTCGGAAGGACAATAGAAAAAGCGTTGTTTTGAAATATGATGAGGTGTGGATTATAAGCTTGCGTGGATTTCATGTGCTTTTCGGAGGGGATTACTGGTTTTGTCACTAAGCGATTAATCTTGACACAATGTGATAGATACCTTGGGTCGGATTCCCTTGAAAATTGCTGTTCATTGTGTGTGTTAAATGATAGACATAGCGTGATCGGAACATGAGTTTAATTGCTCTTTGTGTTTAAATACAGAGGCAATATTTCTTGGCAAGGTTTGGATCTTCAGAGTGAAATCACTCATTGTTCTGGAACAATTAATAGTGGTGAATTCTGCACCCCCTTCAACCATTCTGCAGAATGTTTGTTTCATCAGCTATCTAAACCAATATGACTGCTGTTGGCTCATTTAATTGACTAAGCAATTAATCACTTAATCTTTTAATTAAGTCGTAGCACTTGGTCTTGTTTCACTTGTGAACTTCCGGCTCTATAAGACCAACTTGTTGTATTTCCCTCTCCCTCCAAGTAGTTGAGGTGTCTTGTCTAAATTCTTGTGCTTTTGCCAAAAACTTTTTTCATGCGGATTATTAGTGGGGTGTCCAGGGACCTCGGAACACAATTATTCACTTTTCTTCTAGGAATGTGCTCATCATCGCGTGTAACTTCTCAAGGAAGTTTGTTCACGGAATGAACAATCAGCGCTAACAGTATACAGTTTCTTTCCCAAGACACTGCAGAGCCAGAGATATTGCTGTTTTAATTCTGTCATTGGAGAGCTAGGGACTAGTTGTGCCTTGAAAGACATTACTCATACAATCCCATATCACTAGTCTACAAGTTTTAACAGCAACGCGGGCATTATTGTCGGAAGTGCCACTAGTCGCAATTAACATAGTTTGGAGTATCGTCAACATTGCTTCTAATTACTCATTTACGGGAATAATGTTACCATATCAGGAAATAGGAAGCTATTATTAATCGCTTTCGCTGTAATTACAAGAATAGAGAATGATCATGGTCTACCCATATGACAGCTAGCACAGGAAGTTCTCATGGATGTTGCAAAGCCAGCATTGCATATTCATCAGGGTGAACTTGCCACAGTGACCTTAAGTGATACATACCTAACTTTGGATTATACTAGAGTGTAAACTGTTTGCTTCCAGAGCTTGATGTTCTTGTGTAGTGATACCCAAGAGCCACAATAAATTGCAGTTATAGCAAAGGAATATTAACATCATTTCTTATTGCAGTGTATGGGAAAAACATCTTTTTAACGCAGACTGAAAGAAGCATTTTACGGAATATCATCAGTGCCTTGGAGTTCCTATTACCAATATGTTTTGAGGATCAGTTATGATGTTCAATCCCTACTAACTTGTGTGATTTATATTTGTCCCTTTTGGATGTAACATTGTTTGTGTTTAAAAAGGAGAGGACCTTCTTCAAGATGCCTCCCATCGTAACTAAAGGATACCCACGAATGTGGTCGGTGGAAGTCACTGTAACTTTCTCAAACAACTCTTATTTTCTACAGAGGACTCCACCCCAAACAACACAGCAGCACCAACAACATCAACAACAACAACAACAACAACAACAGCATCAACAGCAGCAGCTTACAACGACCAATCACGTGACGCCAGTGCCGCATAAGCCACTTGTCCAGGACAGGCACGTCGTGACGACGGGTGATGTGAGCCGAAAATGCAACGGGCTTCACGCCCGGGAAAAGTCTCCCGAGATCAAGAAGGAGGAGAAGTCGGCGGGACCGGTAAGTCCTTTTTGCTGTCGTGTGTCTTGTAGTGTTAGAAGGAGTGATGTGAAATTTCATCTGTTGAGAGCCAGGGCAGCGTCTCATGAAACCATCATATAAGTACAAGTTTACCGATGTCCCATTGAAATATGTGTATTAAGTTTAACACGCGATTCAATGAGATGTCGGTGAACTTGTACTTATGTTGTTTTCATGAAACGCTTCCCAGGAGGGGTATTCAATTTAGTGTAGTCAGTATTTTACTTAACCCGGTAGTATTTTACTTGGCTAAGTACTATCTAGTAACACGTATTCAGTTCACATCTGAGCATTTTTACTTTAGTAAGCAGACTTAAGGTGTGCAATTAATGTGTCGCATTAAATTTGCACTAATATTATTGTTTTTGATGACTGCGTATCGTTCATTTTTAATAGCGAAACGGCATATTTAGAGAAACTGTGTATAATTTATACTTAATTGATGCTCATGAAGGGAAAATGAATCCTCATGCAGTTATTTTTTATTTGGACTTATTTGGAACTTCAAAATGTATGAAATGGTAAAGCATTCTCAATACCGTACTTAGATTTTCTTTAATTACCAAATTTGCTTAATAGCAGACTTCTTTCGATTGTAGTCGATCGAGTGTAGATTCAAACTGTCGAAGTTGGCTGTGAAGATTTTACTTTTAGTCATTATTTATTAAAACTCAAGATGGTCTTTAGTCTGTAACTCTGGGTGAAGTTCTAAGTTCTAAACAAGTTTAAATTTGAATGATGCGGCCATTACTTCCCTTCAATCGTGTCATTCAATGTGCTAATGTAATATTGACAGCATGAACTACACACACATGCCAGTCACAATGATTTCTTTGGAGAATTCCTGCTCTTTGGGACTTTTTTAGGCTCATGATTCACTTCTGCCTCTCCTGTCACTCAAAACATAATTCATCATTAGATTTATGTCAAAACCTGTTTAGAACTACGTGCAGACTTTGAGGTCTGTGTGGGCCTCACTTAATCTCTTATGATACATTAAAAACCTGTGAGGTCATTGATACTATTCAATAAGGCTTTTGAGTATGATTGGAATAGCTTTACTACATGGCTTGTGGCTGCAGAATCTTTTTCTTACACAGGAAAGTGTGAACAAATTAATAACAAGAACAACAACTACAACAGCAACAAAACTCTGAAAGCCAAAGTAATTAGTTTTGTTGTTGTTCTTGTTCTGGTTTTGTCACTAGACCATATGCTTTGAGACAGATGAAATGTTGGTCTTTGGTTCTTCAAAATAGATTTCATGCTGTTTGCAACCATCGCAAATAATTTCAGTTTCATTAACTTATAATTGAATGGACTTGACAGTGAGCATTCCTTGTGTCAAACGTCAACTGGGTGAATTCAGAGTTGGACAGCTCTTTGAATAATCTACAAGGTGATATGATTTGTGCAGTTTGTCTGTTGATAATTATTCTGAGACTACACCCCACAGAGTTCGATATACGTGCAGTCATTAAATTTGTTAATATTTACTAATTTTTTATAAGTTTGCTTATGGCATGGAACAGAGGAATATTGTAGATGAATAAAATTGTCTAGATTTCCTTTTTTGAGCATATTATTACTATACTACTGTAGGCCCATTTGTATGCAAGACAGATTCACTAAAAATAGGGCAAAAACTGTCTACTATCACAGCAAGTTCACAACACATTTGCAACAAAAGCAAATGTTTGCTGGTGTTGATCAGGGTATTTAATTGAGTGATGACTGTACAAAAGCAGAAGCCACACACCGTGATCGACATGGACCGAAAAATGAGGTCAAAACACAGTTATGGACAAATATAGCCAATATTAGGTCGGGATTGAAAGAGGCAATATTGTTGGGTGTGTGAGCTGCTCAGGAAAACTCAATTTTCAGATCATATCAGCCGTTTGTTTCATCAACTCAAAGGGGGATATATATTCAACTAACCTGTGAAATGGCTGACTTTTAGTTTGAAGTTTTGTAGTTTTAAAGAGGTTGGCATTGGATCAGTTTAGTGTTAGGGGTAACTCTCTATTTAAAGACATAGTTACAAAAAGGCAGATTGATTCTCCTGTGGTAATTAATGCCCTCAGCACCCTCAATCCCACTCAAAAATAGCAGGGGGCAATAGTAGCCGTTTGCTTTTATTTCCATCTTTAGTTTTCCTTCGATGCAAAAAATCTCGTTTGCAATCGAGATAATATATTCACCAATGATTGCCCCTAATTTAATCATACAATATAACAATGTGGTTCCCCATGATTCAATGCACGCATTGTTTTTTCTCACGCATTATTTGATTGTGCCAAGATATTTTCTTTTTTTTTCAAAATATAACTTGGTAATAAACTTAGCACACCTGTGACCTATATTTCTACGGCATTGTTGTCATTAGCAGGTGCGCTATTTTCTGATTCATAAGTGTGCTTTTTCCATATATTCATTCGTCCCCTTGGAAACCCTGGTTTGCTGTGTTTTTGCGTGGCTGTCACTGTATATCAATTTTAAGTCTCCATTCCACTCGTCTGCAATGATATAGTCAAGTGATTATAACTGGTTTATATCCTTGTTTTTGCTTTCTGAAACTCTTTAGAAAAGTATGTTACACTGATGGAATCAATCATTAGAGGAAGGAATAAAAGATTAAAAGAGAAAATTTGCCTTATCTAACCTTTTCTCTTCCAAAATCTGTCACCCTTATAATTTCTTGCATTTTCTTTAAACTTTTTTTTCAAGAGATGCAAGGAAAATATATGATAGATTATCAGAGGTGATTCTATACATTACACCCCTCATTACTATTCAAATTAGGAGCAGAAGGTTAAACGAGTTGCTTCCTTCTATCAAGGGATAAGAATCGATCATCCCCCTTGTCTTGAAAGCCAATTCATTTAAGGTATCTTTGTCGCAAATGGAACACATGATCAGGTACATCATCACGTCATGACCGAGAGACGGATCTTCTATCTTGTGTCGCTTGATTAACGACTCTCATCAGCGCGCCCCTCAGGGGGTCATCTCTACAAATGACCTTTTCCTCTACGTTTCTCTCTCATCTTCTTCCAATTTTTTCTCACCCCCTCGATCTGAATCCTGTCTCTCGCTCCTTTTGGGTTAATGACTGTGATGTTGTTCTTTACGTGGATGTGGGTGATTTAAAGCTCGTAATCTATGTCCGTCCCCGTATCCGTGCCTCGCGTAAAAAGACCAAAGTATTTGCCAAGAAGGCGGGGTTTCTCCGCGAAAGGGAGTGTCTTGTCGTTGCCTCAGTAGGGGTAACTCCTGGAATGGAATCAAGAAAATGAAGATGAAAATTGAAATCTATATTTCATGCAGTGAAAATATAGACTCGTAGCTTCATATTAGATAAATTTGACTCAAAGAATGATGGGAGCTTTGAATTTCTTGATAAAAAATTCTTTTTTTGTCTGTTGCTAATATTTTTATAATAGTTTATCATTTTGTTACTGTTGCATTGTGTATCATGTTCTGGCCAGCTAATTCTTGAAACGATCGTTGACAGTAAGCATGTTCTCGAAACTAGAGAGAGAGAGTACTAAGATAGAAAAAAGATTTATCTGCTTCCATTGAATTTTATTGAAATAAGTCCAGTTCATTTTTTGATTGGCCAAATTGTACTTATTCCACTTATTCCCCACTTTGCTATCTTTGAAGGGTTCAACCAATGCCACCAATACTGGTGAGGAAAAAAAAGATTATGTGCCATACAGCTCACAAATATAATTGGGTGTAAATTACAAACATTGAACTTGGGGTTGAATAAGGCGTTTCAATCAGGTCTTTACACTTGAAGTTTAATATCCCCATCTAATTTCTCAAATAAGTATTTCCTTTCCCATCAAAGGGGTAAACCCTCAGACAAATTTGATTATTTCCTTCAACTGGGACAAACTACTTTACAATGACCCCGATGGGAATCTGGGGAAAGTTGGGCCCCTTGACGATTGAGTCGGTAACGACAGAAGCTATGACACCTGTCCTAGCCTGAGAAAGGAAAAGAAATCAGTCTTTTGACACCTTGCTGTTCGGCAGGCAAACTAATGGTCAGTTGACCTTAACAGAGTTTAGTCGTGGGGTCACGCTTGTGCACTTGGGCAAGGCTTCCAGCTAGGCGTAGTGCGTTACCATATATAGTTCTTTGCAAGAGTTGGGTTTTGTGGAAAAACTTCCAGTTAAACAGTTGGTGTTTTTTCAACATGGTTATATTTTGAACTCACATCTTGATCAATGATAATTAAAATAAAAGTTTAATCTTTTAATGAAATATGTTTTATAAAATCTTTTGGTAACAATTAAAACAAAATATGTAGCCCTTAAGTATGGATGCTTGCATGTAGCCTTAAGGTGATGCTTTTAAGATTGGCCTTTGTACTTAGAAGGACGGGGAAATATTGATATATTTTATTTGTTCACAGAATTACTAATGATTAAATTGAAATTATTCCATTACACCAAACTACTTTTGTGCAAAATAAGTAATTCATAATGATCAGCTCAGCAAAGTCTCGTTTCCATCTTGTAGATTGATTTCTGAAGCCTGTCTCAAAGGCAATACGGTCACCATGATTAATTTACCAAATCAAATAATATGTTTAATGATGGTACAGTATGCACAAATTGTATTTAAAAGTAATCATAAGTTATCAACACCTCATAGAGACCATAGTTGGTTTTGAGAGAGAAATTCTTGGCAAGCTTTGTCAAGTTTGAGGTGAAAGAGAGAGAGAGAGAGTGAAGAAAGGGGAAGTTAGGAGCGATCGAGCTAGTGGTAGATTTGATTTTGAAAAATCAGGAATTCATAGAAATATGCTGCGCCTTTCATTATTAGTTGTGTAATGATTCAGGCGCGGATCCACGGGCTCAATTCTACGGGCCCGGCTATGGCAAGCCCATTGTGTAAAAACTAGATAAACTCAGTTTATCAGAAAAACTGTGTTTATCAATGATAAACTCAGTTTATCAACTGATAAACTGAGTTTTTCTGATAAACTGAGTTTATCAACTGATAAACTCTGTTTATCTGATAAACTCTGTTTATCTGTTGATAAACTGAGTTTATCATTGATAAACTGAGTTTTTCT